TTTTCCATATCAGCTGATTTTTGATTATATATGAATGCTTTAAATTCATCATTTTTAACACCGATTTTCTTCTTTTTCAGCTGATTTCGGAGAGCAATTGGATGTTTTATACGTATCTTTTTTTTATTTATTTCTTTTTGTTTTTTCATCTTTTTTTTTCTTTATTACGTTTGTGCTACTGACTTTGATTCCTTCATTCTTTTCAGTATTATTATCTTTCAGAGATTTTTTGGGTAAGTTCTTTTTCTTTGCTTGGGTCCACTTTTGTATGAGAGTGTTGCATTCAGCGGCAAGCTTTTCAAGAAACGATTTTAAATCAATTTCTCCTTTCTCAGAACCAAGCACAACATCTTTAAGTGGCTCTGTAGGTTCGTTGAAATCGTAGTAGGTGTCAAGTACTTCAGTAATCTGGCCTTTTTCGTGGCATAACTTTTACAGAGTAACTTCTGAGACAAGGGCTACAGGGGGCACTACAGGCAGATTTTTAGTTCTTTCTGTAGATGGAGACTATTGGATGTATAGTAGTAGGTATACAATATCTTCTTCCTCTTCAGTGTCGTCATATGAGCTGCCACTTATGTTTACTTCTTCTAATACTTCCAAAAGGAATTCTAAGGCTTGAAAATTTATTCGTTCTTGAGATGGCAATTCCCTAGGACCTCTTCAACGATTTTTTGGACTTTATCAGTTTGCTCTTTGGTAAGTGTAGTAAAAAGAGCAACACACTTTTTTTTTAAGAGGGTTACGTGTGGGCACTTAGACCAGATTGGCCTTCTACTCTGCAATAGGAGCACCAAACCTCTCATTGAGGGCATCGTTTAGGGTTTCATTGAGGGCATCGTTTGGGGTTCCATTGAGTATGCAATAGTCGTATCTTTGTAGTTTGGGCTTCAATTCAGCTTAATAGTTGGTTATATATAGATAGTTTGTATATTTTTTACATTTATTTTCTCTTTTTTTTTTTTTAGAAACGGATTTCATAGGGTGAATTTGTGGCATATTTGAAAGAAACTCAAAAAAAACAAAGCGGTCATAGTTTGTCATTCTGGGTTTCTAACCAACGAAAATGAGTATACTCTTCCTTCAGTGCCTCAAGAAAAACTAACAAAAAAAAAATAAAAAAAATCAATGGGATTCTCGCATATTCAAAAGATGGATTCCGGGCGAGACAAAAAGATATTTTGTCATATCTCACAGTCATCACCACAATTGTCAGAGGCTAAATGGGCAATAACACAAACCAAACAATCACCCAAAAATACACAAACCCAACCCACACCTCTCAATATACTCGATTGGTAGAGGCAGTTTTGATTTGGCAAGGTAAGGCTAAAATCAGATATATTGTAGGTTTTGAACAATTAATCTTTTTATTTATTTAGACACCCTTGATTAATTGTCCTTTATTAGAGAGTGAGAAGAGCCCATTTTTATAACAATTTATATGAAAGAACAATGGAAAAAAATTTTTTCTAATCTAACCCCAAGCTCCAACATGCCACTCCATGCCATGCCATGCCAACAGAGCTTTGCCTTTTGTGGCTAAGCTTCTGGCACTGCCCCCAAGCCCTAAATCAGCCAATCTGATTTTTTTTTCCTTGTGGCTTTTTGCTACCATTTTGCCACATTTCAGCCATGATCACAGCCACCATTTCCTGAGAGCTTTGGTTTGTGTTTTTATTATGTTTTTGGGCTTTGTGACGTCAATTTTGAATAGCAGTTTTAGCAATTCTGCCTCTGACAATATGTATATAATTGTTAAAATTAATAGTATATAAATTGCAATACTAAATAAAATTTTTTAACTTTAATACTACTGGATAAAATGAATACAA